TGACTGGGAACTGGCTGTCAACGTAGTGAACACGGTGTTCAGAAATATATATCCAGGTCATAAACAAAGCACACTTTCAGAGTTTTAGTGAAATAAAAACACAAGGTACAGTGCGTATTGTTTTTGGTGTAGACAATGTTTAGCATACTTGATGCATGGTTTTGTACATGTGTTCTAGGAATGAATATAGTGAAACAGTTTTGGTAGTGTAGAATTCAGGGAACACATTTTTGGTGTTGTGTAGCTGTTAGCGCTCTTAGGTTGTGTGGATGGGACAAAGTGTTTTATGGGTGTTACCAGTAAATTAATACTGGTGCTGATGCAGACCTCCAGATAAAGTTGAATAATTTTTTTTTGTTACTTTTTCAGAAGAAGTAGAGAATTTCTTACCTTTTTGCAGTTGATTAATATAAAAAAAAAAAAAAGGCATTCTCACTTTTGTGCACGTGTACGGTTTAGCAATGACAAACCTTACACCCGGTGCTTTTAGGTGATCTAAATAAAAGTTAAATTTTGGTCAGACATTCAAATCTACTTGTATTTAAGGTATAGCTGTGTTTGAGTTTCTCTGAGTCATTATCATGAGTGGGAGGGTAATGCAAACTCTCTCAATATAGGGTAGTTTTTTTTCTTTGTATGTCACATTAACAGTTAAAATGTGTGCATCTTTTGGGGTTGGGAGGAAGGGGCAGAGAGACAGAATTCAAGGTAAAGACCGTAATAGCCTGTTGGGAAATCCCATTTTACCAGAAAGTGGAACATTAAAAGTCTTCACCTGTATTAAGTATTACAGTATGTTTATCTCATATCATCAAAGGTTGTAAATATGTTTATATACACAATGCGTACCTAATGATTTTTGTAGTCAATGGAGTTACACAATGTTGAACCACATGTGCTCTGGATACACTGGTGGAATAAATTTCTCATATGTGTGGGACTGTGACCGTTGAAACAATCATTACTGAAACCATATACCTTATTTCCTGTAACTAATAGCAGCTCTCTACCTATGGAATATATTAACAGTTATTCCCTTGGTTTTGGATTGTTGCTAAACTATTTTGTTGGACAGATATTTAAATATGATCTGTAATTTATGTTGTCTGAATACGTCAATGAACAGAGCTAATTATGGCTTTTTGATGTGAGCTTGCTGATGTTTGTGAAACTACACTTATGCATATAAGACAGAGTAAATGTATATTCCTTAATAAATCATGGAAAATGATGAGTTTTCTCTACCTGTTTGGTAGTTCTGGTTAACAAAAATACCTTGGTTGGTTTTAAACTTAATGTTTATAAAGAGACAATGGTTTCTGTGGCTAGCTGAACAGTTAATGTTCTTTACCAATAAATATTTATCTGCTGTTCTATATGGTACTGAAATTTTTTTTTTTTTTTGGAACTGAAAATTGTTGTGTCCGGCAGCACTGGCCCATTTAGGGCCTTGCAGTGGGGCGCATCACACTTGTCACTTTTGCACAATGTGCTCACCTGGAGGTACAACTGACACGGGTGACAGATGTCCTGAATGAATGTCACTGTGAGATGCTGTTTTTGAGATGAGAGTTTAATTAACATGGAGAGAAATCTCACAAGGTGCCTGAATTGATTGGTATTTTAAAGTATATATATTAAATATATCAGTGATCTGGTTTTTGACATCCTATCTGCTTAGGACAATTTTCTTATTCCAGGTAGTTTCTTGTTAATGTATATATGCTGATGAATGTGCTACTACATATGCATATGGTACATATAGAGTAACAGATTTTTCAAGCCATACAGTGACACACTCCTGAGAATAGAGTTGAGCTGTTGGTGGAACACACACAATTATTGGCTCCAAAGAGCAGCTCTTGAGAGAGGAAGCAGCGTAATGAGAAAGGGGAAGCAGATATGTTTTTCTAATATTTGTTGTTTTCTTTGAAATGGGTAAAAGAATACCTGGAATGATTTATATCTAATTGAGGATTGCATTCCATCAGATAGGGTAAATGTTCTCAGGCCATTTATCATCAGTGTCTTTCCGAGACCTCTGAGGAGCATATAGAACATATTTACCTTAACTTGGCTAGGTCAAGGGAAATAAAGCAAAAATAATAGATGTTATTTTTGTATGTGAACAAAACTGGAAGTCATGTGGGTGAAATACGAGGTAAAGGACTTTGTCCTACCTCCTCTGTGACTTTTTAAATACAAGAAATTATTAGTTGTATTTAATATAACTTCCTGTGCATTATCAGTGTATGTTTTTAAAGTATAAGATTTATTGGCTGACTTCTTCATTGTTGTAGGTTAATCATTCCCTGAAGTAAAAATGACACATATTGTGCTCCCATCATTACTTAATATTTTCATATTTTAGTAGCATCTTTAAAAAAAAAGCCATGCTATGTACTGCTTTTTATGCAACACTTTTACCAAAATGAATTTGAAGTGTCATATTGGTAATGCATACAGACCGTAAGACAAAGGTTAGTGAGTAATATCTACGTTTTTGGGCACCAGGAGTCTTGTACAGCAAGACTTTAAGCTTCAGATCATCTCTGAAAAATCTGTCATTGCTGGTTTTCTTCCGTTCATGCTATTGCTGGGACCTTTGAATGCTGTTAAGAATTACATAGCAAGAGCTATTTAGCGCACACCCCACAATGAATCTAGTTTTGAACTGTTTCTCAGTGTAACTCAGCCTAAAGGAGTTTATTATATTGCAACATTTCTGTAATGTTTGCATAACACTTTTCAGTAATAGAGCTAAAGGTAGAAGGATAAATGCAGAATAACCTAAATGTCAGGATCTTTAACCAAGAAGGAGACCTGAGAACTTAAAGTCTTTTAGTCTCTGCATGTACATTCATTCCCTGTCACAATAAGGAACATGCAATGCAAACAGTTGCACAATAACACCAAATAGCACACTGTTGATTCAGCTAAACCTGATGATATAACGGTTTCAGAACTAGTCTGATTAAGTGAAATTTGATCAGATATTTTATGAACAAATTACTTTGCTACTGATACCAATAGTGATTTGTAAATTAACTGTAACTCCTTTTTAGTGAGTGACTTGACTCAGTGACATTTACAAACTTTTCATGTACCCTCATTTTCGAGGGCTAAATTTGCAAAATGTTTTCTTCTATTCCTTTGAGTTAAATTTTCTGCGACATTTGGTGACAAGCCTAGTATGATTAATTACAAATTGTTCTGTAGATGAATAGAGCATATTCTAAATGCAGCTTATATTTTTAGAGTAGTTATTACTGGCAGGTTCCCCGAATGCTTTAGAGTACATGCTGATTTCAGTTACGTCACTGTAAATTCAGAAACCGTCTGTGACTTCAAAAGTGTGATTCTGAAATTAGGTCTGTGGAAAAGAGATCAGAAACTGCCTTGCTACCTGAAAAGAAGCAAACTCCAAAATGGAGTATAGACTCTGCTTCCAGTAAGCCATTGGCTTTTTTAGAAGGAATGTATTTGTCCAGAAAATACTCTACTTGAAACAGTATGGAGGAATAAAAAATAAAGCAAATTATAACTTGAAGCCAGGCTGAATTAGGGCAAGAAAGCTGGAGCATGGGATGCTTACTCTCTTGCTAAGTGATCTTCAGTGATCCGGAAGTTCAACATCTCTATTTCATCTTATACCCATGGTGGGCCGTTGACTCAGGCCTATCTAGAGGTTTCTTTTTTATTTTATCTTCTAGCTGAATTTCTTCAGCATCTAAATTTGTGTTGTTGCCTGCCTGGCTAGTTGACCTTTTGATAGGTACAATGTTCTTGTAATTTCTTTTCCTATTTTTTAAGCTCTGATTACAGCTTTTTTTTTTCCCTCCAGCTGAACTTGAATTTAACTAAATTTCAAGGTTGAGGTTACAATTCAGATTTTCTTGAGAGGTATGTAGTTCTCTATTGAATTCTTACTTCTTGTCATCAGAGAAATATAAGGATTACAATCTGAAACCACTAGAAATTAAAGGTCAGGAAATGGATGTACAGTCTTATAATATACTACATCAATCATGAAGCCCAAGCAACGTTTGTCCGCCTTTGTTAGGGTATTTTGAGAAGGAAATCATCAGAGATGCAATCATGGATGGTAAATACCTTTACAGGGTTTTCTTTTTAACATTTTTATCTGATAGTTTTGCTCAAAGCATCTGAAAAGCAGCTTTCCAGTACCCCAAGACTGTGACTCATGAAGCAGATGAGCAATAGTCACAGGGTGTTCATCTTTCCCTTCGTTTTGGGCAATGTGTTTTGCTTCCTGTTTGTCAGCAGCCCTGTGGCTGAGCGGGTAGATAGCTTCCTTAAGTCTGCAATATTGCTCCGTTCCAGCCGTTTGGGAGTGCTCAAGAATAACGTGGTTTACGTCTCCTCTAGGGGCTAAGTGTGTCACTTCGGTGATGATCCCAGCTTCTGGGACCCAAGGTCGAGTGCTGGAGGTGTACTCAGGCTGCGTATCTGCAGGCTGCTCTCAGTCATCTTTCTTTAAGTCACTTAGCCTGAATGCCGGTATTGGGAACTCTTTTGGCTGAAATGTGTTTGAATTGTTCTTTAGTTTTATCTGCCACCAGGAAAAGGGCAAAGCCTATGTAAAAATGAATAAGCTGCATTTTATGGATGTATCCCTTAACCTATGAAAGAAGGATATCTTTAAAAATGCCTTGTAAAGGCAAGCTACTTTTAAATCTCTAATTGAAGAGGAAGATAACAAAATCAAAATACAATATTTTTAAATCCTGCACATTTAGATTCATTCAGAAATTTCAAATGGCAGGCTTTAATGGTTGAAACGAATAGATGTGATTTTGTCAATATAACTGTTAATTAGCCTTTTTGAAGTAAACTCATTAATTTAAAAACAAGGATTAAATTCATGGGGGAGGGGAAGATGACACTGTATAGGGCCTTGCAATATGTTTCTCCTCTTTCCAGTGTAAAATAATAAGATGCATTTCTGAAGTAAAGTACTTCTTTATTGTCTTTTTCAGAATCCAGACAGGTCTGAAACACTAGGAACATGAGTGTTCTTCTCATTGAAGCTTTTTATGGTGGTTCTCATAAGCAGCTGGTAGATCTTCTTAAGGAGGAGATGGAAGAATGTGTCCTCTGCACCCTGCCTGCCAAGAAGTGGCCATGGAAAGCACGAACTGCCGCCATCTCTTTCATGCAAACGGTACCACCTAACGCTAATTACAGGTAACCTGAGAATTGGATAGTCTCCTAGCTCAAATTGCAGAGGAACCTTCAGCCAGGTCTCCCTAGCTGAATCTTCAGTTATGTTCATGCAAATGTGTATGTGCAAGTGAGTGGAGGCTTGTAGTGAACAAATACAAGTTTTTCTCCTTGTGTTGCCTTCTTTCGATATAAATATGGGAAATTGCGTCGCTAGTCCTTGAAAGTCTCTTAAGAGTGGAAGAATACAAATTTGTTTCTGTGTGTGTATGTGTATATATGTGCATCTTATTTTTAAATTATCAAGTGAATTCAGACATGCTGAGAGATTGAAACTGTTTTGCACAGATTAGGTTGAAAGATAGCAGAGACATGCACAATAGCTTCCTCACTTGCCCTCCCGTTTATCTATAAGAAGGCTGATTTATCAGAACGTACTGTTCAGGCTGACCTAGCGGATTTAAGGGAGCAGTTTTATCTTAACTTCAGTGGGGTTCTGTAACGTGCCTGCAACTGTGGACGTCAGTTATGTGCTTATGTAAATTGCAAATTTCTATCAGCTGGAACCTGAACTGATAAAAGTCAAGTATTTAGGTCAACAGATAGCTATCACCTAGTGAGAATCAGCCACTCCAGTGCCAAGCTGTCTTTAAAACCAACCATTTCTTTGGCCTACCTGCTCAGCGGAGATGTGGTAAGATGATGGTGTTAAGCAGCGATGTGCTGTGGGGTGCAGCGAGAGCTTCCATCTGTGCGTGGCAGAACGTCACGGAGCCGGTTGCAAGCACGCGCTCTGATGTCGTTATCCCTGCGTGGCAAGAGACTGGGATGTTTTAGCAGGAGCACCTGCTTTTCACCCAGAGAATTAACTTCAGCAGATCTAAGTACATCCCAGGAATGTGCTAACCAGCTATAGTTACAGCTGAGTATTGCCTCTAGTATTTGCTACTCCAAATAGGAACAAGCAGAAATAATGGACGGGGGAGGAATGTGATTTTTCAAGAATAGATCTCGTCCTATAGAAGGCTGCATTTAACCAGCGTGTTGCCCAACACAACAGTTATCCATTCTGGAGTGTATGCTACATGCATATACACCTTTTCTTTTCCTACTTCTGACTTTCATGTCAAGTAAGCTGCCATCCCAAGCCGAAATATAATTATGAAATTTTCCAGGTTGGTCTCGTGCGAGGCTTTTAGCGTCAGTCTCGTAGTGCTTTCCTTTTGCAGCGATTCTGGTTTGGAGGAGTCTATATGACAAACTGTTATGTAAATTCCTCTTGCAGCACAACCGCATCCTCCAACGCATCGCAATGTTATCTGTGTTCCTTCAAGGTCAGGAGCCCAAGCTGTCCAGCACTAACTGTATTAAACTAATCAGGCATCACTCATAGACATACACTTCATTAGTTTAACTTACAGTTACATTGACCTAAGATAACTTAACTCCAATTTGTCAAGTAACCCGCATCTTGGAGGGAGGGAGGGGGGAACAGAAACAACAACAACAAAAAAAAACAACCCAGCAGCTTGAAAACTCCCTTGAAGTTAATAAACTTGCAATCTGTCATAGACTTATGTGCAAATATAACCTTTACTGACAACAAATAAATCTGAGCTAACCAATAAAGCATCTTAAAGAGAGGAAAGCTTTTTCTTTGCTGATGCTGTTAGTGCGTGATCAGACAGAATCAAATAGTCAAAGTTCACAAAGATGTACTGTTTAAAAAACAGCGTATACTGTATCCTCGCATGGGGGATAAAATTTTAGAAACAAGGGCTGATGTGAGTGGTTAGATGAAAGCTAATTAGAGGTACCTTCTACTTGCACATCTTTAATGTTTGTTTTGTAATTAAATGTTTCAAATATCGTATTAAATTGAAAGTAGAAATGCATCAGACTACAACCTAATGAGGCTGACTACTCTCTCCAACTATAAAAAGCATTGATTAAAATTAACATTGATTCTTCTACTTCTAGCTTGCCAGTAGCCATTTAAGATCTGCTTCCCAGGTAGTAGTGACTTACTATTCATCTTAAGACAAAATTATAGAAAATTGTCAGGAGTGTATGTTTTGAATTAGATTTTTAAATATTTCAACCTTGTTTATGTTATTTACAATATTGACGTTATTTGTGACTCATTTTCTAAAATCAAAAACTTATTTCCAAGTGCTTTTCAGATGGAGATCAATGGTGTTTCATAAATACCTTACTTCTATGTATGCATTTGATTATCCAGAAAGGTCACAAATATTTCAAGTACAAACTCTTTTGGTAACATTGTTACCTTGTTAAATTTTTCTTTTCGAACCGTACTTTAAATCAAGATGCTGGAATGTATGAGAAATCATACTGATACAAATAAGTCTGATAATATTGTCATAGATCTGTACAGCAGTAGTATATATACTTCTTAAAAACGATTCTTTTACAGCTAATTGTAGAAAGCAAGCAGATTTGTTAATTTTCAAGTGATGTGCAGTGAGCAAAGTCTAAAAAGTGCTTTGGAAGGAAGAGAGCATAAAGGGAAGAGTCGTAGTACTTAAGTTCGTTTGCTCTTCTGTGAGCAGTATACTTCCTTGTCGAAGGACAGACAGGTATTCCCTTGGGGAAGACTTCCAGCTGAATTGGTAAGGCACAGCGCGGGCGACAGCGCTGTTGTGAGCTGTGCGGCCGGTGCCGTGGCGCGCAATGAATGGCACGTCGCCGCGCAAGAACTGCGCGAGCTGCCGAGAAGCACGATTGTCACAGGAAGACAATGTTTTCACTTTTCAAGAGGAACTCGCATAGCTACTGTGGTATCAGAGACTTGGTACTTCGCCTGCAACACTGAGCGTGTAGTGTTTCCCTCACTCAGAGTGTGTGTTCTTCCTCTAATAAAAAAAAAATTCTTTCCTATTGTCATGACTTCATTGTGCAATGTGTAGTTAAACCAGCTCAGATCTTCGTTCACCTCCTTAAAGGAGGGCAGAAACCTTGATGAATATGGCAGATCAGGCAAGGAGTGTGTGCCTCCAGCTTAGGCCATGAGGATGGTTTTTTAAAGGGGGCATACATAGCTAGTGATCTTGAAACGGTCTAATATATTGATATACTGCAGCAACAGAAGTGCACGTCTTCAAGAGCTTTCTTGCCTTGCTATATAGACACTTCCATGATTTTTCCTTTCTGCCTGAATTAGCCTGGAGATGTCTGTTCTGAAGTTACATTAATACAGGAAGTTTCATCCATTCACAACAACTATTGCTATAGAGAATTTCCTTCCATCTCCTGTCAGAAAGGGAGGAGACGGGAGCTTCTGACTAATCTCTCATTTTCTATTTCTTCCCCAAAATCTATCTCTGAGTAGTAGGAGCAATATATTTTTCTCTGTTCTTTAATTCTTTGATTTTTAAGAAAGCATGAGATTTCTCTGCAGAAATTGTGATTGCAGTGTTACTTTCCCTCACATCAAGAGGGAGAGGAATGCTACATTTTCTAGCTGGCAGTTTCCAAATGAGGGTATTTGAAATGTACTGTAAAAGGGTACCATTACTGTATGTTTTTTCTAGATAATTTTTTTTCAACATTTACAGAATTTTCTCATCAGTTCATGGAATATGACAAAGAGAAGTGACCTACCGAAAGCCGCCCTGCTGTCGCTCTCCAGAGTCTGGGCGTTGTGTTTGTTTCATCTCCCAACTTGCCTCGGACAGCTAAATTCTTTGAAAAATTTAGATGTCTGAACTTCTCATCTAAAATTAATTTTGATTAATTTAGCACAAAGTGACAAATTCCAGAGAGCGAGTAACAAACCTTTTAGAAATATTTTTCCTTAACTCAAAGAAAGTTCTCAAATTTGAAAATAGTAAGCTATTACAGCATTTCGTGAAGAAATACTTGATTTGTTGCTTTTCTCTTTACTGTAATTCTGTTTATTATCATGAGGAAAAATATTTTAAATTTCAGATAAAAAGAAATCAAGATGACACACTAGACAGCATTTTATTTTTCTCTCCAGTTATACTCTACAAAAAGTATTAATGCAAATAAAAAAAATAGTAGTATAAGACTTAGGTCTGCAAGAATGGCGAGACTAAGCGCAATATAGCTTCCAATTTTTTTAAGAGCACTGCTAGCTTATTTTCGAAAAATATATATAAATATAATGTGTAACATTCTGTACTACCCCCCAGGTAGCTGTTCATATGAATAAAGATTTTATTTGTAACAGACTCTGGCCTTGAAATACCCCAGGGTAAATGCTAGCATGTATATATCCCTTGAAATTTGACAACGATATTTTAAAAGACAAATCTGTGTTTTTACATTTTACAAAAGAGAAAAATCATTGGTTTTAATTAATGAAGCTCTGAAAAAAAATCTGAAGGGTGTGATATTTGACAATCTATAGCAGATTCAAAGAGAATATAATGTAGACACAGTTTTTCCCCATAATGCGTTAAGACTACTGGCTAGATTTCGGGTTGTTTCAGATCTGATGCTTTCGTTGTGTTCTATAAGGAAGAAAAATTATTGTAGAATGAGTTCTTTATTAATAAACTAATGTCAGCAAGACATTCTGTTAAAAACAGTGATGCTATAATTTAGTGAGTAATTCAGTGAATGAGTAGTCCAGCTGAAAACATAGCACAACTTGCATGTGTAAGCGTTAGCAAGTTAGAGTACTTACTGTTTTCTGTAGATTTGCTTTTCTAAAAAAATACCTGCAAGTAACATAACCTGGGGAAGATTTTTGAAGATGTGACTCGAAGTGAGGCATACAAATTTGAGCCATTTCACTTAAAGCTGAATGCATAGATGCCCATTTGTGCTGGGAACATTTCTGTCTCAAAACCACCCATGCATACATGCCCACACTCTTGTATTTTCAGCATCTTGATCTCAACCTCTGCAATAAGCTAAGGTAATGGAGAAATATCTTTAATGATTTTCTCTCCACCTAGGCGCTTGCATTTTGCCCTCCAGCTATTCACGTGTTCTCGCAGTGACAATAACAGCCACAACAAAGATGGTCTTTA